AAAAAGAAAACAAAAGTTAAAAATAACAACAACAACAGCAACAACAAAGATCCCAAGAGGTTCTGAGATATACACACTATTACTGAGTTTAGAGTCATGGTCCAAGCAATGAGCTCTTTACCTGAACCTGTATTTTTGTCTATGTCCCCCCAGCCAAAGACCACTAGGAACACACATGTAGTTGAACAAGTTGGGTTTATTGCTCTTTGCAGTAAGGAAAAATACACACCCTGGGGAAGTGTGGGGTGTCTCAGTAAGAGGGTGTTAGGATTTATTATGAAATTGGTGTTTATGTTGTTTGGTTTTGGGCCTTTGCTCAGGACTGCATGCTGTCAGGAAGTAGGTTGCAAGGAATGCTGTAGTGTGTGGGAGGAAGTAAAGCGAAAGCTGTAATTGGTAAATATGCTAGTGCCTATTAGCCAGGACAGGGGGCTCTTTAGTCATTTTTGTGGTTTGGACAATGCTCATGTTTATGTTTGTGTTCAGACACGATTACAGAGTGGTCTTGCTTTGTTTTGATTTTTCAGTCATTCAGTGGCCTTGTCTGGTGTCGGTGTTCTGTGAAATTGTTTATGTTCCAGAGATCACCACGGTGTCACTGTGTCAGGCCAACTCCTAGCTACACCGGGATGTAGCTCATAGTTGAGGCCTGTTGCTCTGTCATGGGCTGTTTTTCTCTTGCTCAGTAGCTAATGAAAGAGCATGACACCGAGAAGAGGGGTTGCTCAGCAATGGAAATAGACACCTCAAGGCCAATGGTGACAGTGTCCAAGCACCACATAAGAGGGAGACCTCAAAGTTTATTCCCTGAATTTCCCGAGGGTCCATGAGGTTAGGGACCTTATCTGATGTTGCTTATCACTGTATTCCCAGCGCCTAGCTCACAGTAGGCTCTCAGTAACTGTGGAATAAGCAAACTTTATGCTCTGACTCTGATGCCCCCCAAAACCCTCAGGTATCTCATTCCACCAATTACCCCCTCATTCTCTCACCTCTCCCCTCTACTGGCTATTTTGCCCTCAGCAAAATGAGTTTGCCAATTAAACAAAACTTCATTCACCCAGTCCATAGCCACCTGCCCTCCGTCCTCTCTCTCCTTCATAGCCAAACTGTTAACACAAGGCCCTCTTAGAGAACCGAAGCAGGGAGGCAGTTATTTCGGCTTCACTGAAGTTCCAGTTCAAGCCTTTGCCAAAAGCTCTTATCTTTACAGATATAAATTTTTTTTTCCAGCAATTCATTCATACCTTCCTGAACCGAGGACCTGGATGTGTAGAAATTATGTGTAGCTCTGCTGGGTGACAGCTTTGAGCCCCAGGAGTCCTGCAATAAGGTCTGTCCTCCAAGCTATTTCTGGCTGAAGAACAATTTCAGACATTAGACCTGCTCCAGTTTGAGTCAGGGATAAAACACAAGCTGTGCCGTTCTATATGGGGTGGGGATTGTGGCATCTTCTGTGGTCTTGAAGAATTACTTGAATGCAATAAAAAATAATTTGAAAAATAACCTTCCCCAGCTATATATAAGGAGGCATTTTAGTAAAGAGCACAGACTAGAATATACAAAATGAGAATTGAAACTAAACAGAACCTTGGATAACATCTAGAGCTCTATGCTGATTCCATGCCATGGCAAAGTATTATTGTGGTCATCCTTAATTCACATTTTATAGCACCTTAAAGCTCAGGAAAAAGAGTAAAAGGAATTTCAAAATGATTTTAAGGGGCAATTGCCGTGTAATAAAGTGATACTTTGATAAAGAAGCAGTACCAAGCCTATTTATATACCTGATTGAAGATTTGCCTCCAACTTACATTTCAAAGCTGTGATCTAACCTTTTTTGATACCATGACATAAATCATGACAACAAATGTCTACCCAGAATCATAACTGTTGATTCCCCTTCCCTGCAGATGCGGCTGATGTATTAAATGTGTCAGATTTTATCGCTAATTTTCAGAAAATAAAACTAGCATTAGGAAATATTGATAGTATTTTTGATATTATTTATATTTATGATAAACTTCCAATAGTTTCCTTTTATTAACATGAATCAGAAATCCCTCCCAGAAAGAATATAAATTTCAAGAAAAAGCATTGAAAATATTGCAGTCCAAATACTGAAAAGTAACTGTTTATGCTGAGACTATTAATTACAATATTGATCCGAGGATGAGGTAATTGTGTTCAATCCTTGCATCGAGACGATCAAAGATTCAATTCACCTGCTGAACTATACGCTAAAAAGCAAACTCAAAATGATCTATTTAGTGTCTTAGCAGGATTTGCTTTAATCTTAGAGTAAATAAATAACTTCCAAGCAAAGCCAGATACACAAAAGATCTCAGAATAAAAACCTTAAAAATTCACCAAATAAACTATGAGAACATAAATGCATTATTGCACATTTTAGGATATCACCAATTTTTGATGGTATGAGATTCTTATGAAAGGCATTTACTACACGGTGAAAAGGTGTGCTTAGCCTAAACACAATGCATACATTGTGTGTGTGTCTGTGTATATAAAATACACATTTTAGGCTACTAAATAAATCATGAGTCCTTTTTAAGTTTTAATACTCTCAAGTGTAAAATGGGGAAAATTTCTGTGAAAGTCGTCTTCGCGGGTTACTGGGTGGATGAGTTTAATAGTATTTTGTAAAGAAAATGATATCTTGTGTAGGAGCTAGATTTAAAAAAAAAAAATCAATGCAAAGTGTTAAGCATTCTTAATATTTTAATATAAAAGCATATAAAACCCACCTATTCAAAAAAAAAAAGTTAACCTTTTTTGATTCTTTAATAGTTTAGAAAT